CTGCTTACTCTCTTGTAATCCCTTCTTTTCCAATCTCTCCATTCTGCAAGTGGAAGGGGGGGAACTGGTAAGGCACAGGAGAGATTACCTACAGAAATTGCTGGTTCCCTCCCCCTTGCAGAGTGGAGAAATTCCCACAGGTATATTTTGGCACATGGAGACCATCATTGCCCCCCAAACATTCCCCTAAACATTTTTTTTAACATTACTCTTTTCAGCAACATTATCATGTTTATACAGCTTAATTTATATAATGCCAAAACATGGTTTGAAGTAATCATAAGTTAAAAACCAAGCTGTGTTTCAAGCTTTGAAATGTAGAAGTTTTGAGCTACTTGCCTTCTACTCTGTATTGAGCCATTAGCCTCTAGAGGCAGTTCCATTGTTCCTCTTCAGTTCCTATCTCCCTCAAATAATAGTTGTCACAAAGTGTTGTTTACAAATCTTCAGTCATTGTAGAATTATTAATGTAAAATCATTTTTTCTGTTTCAAGAAAGCTGTCTTTATCTACAAACTGCATTGAAAAAATTGCCAACTTAAATGGGCTAAGTAAGTAATAATGAATATGCTGTATTTTAACTATTTCTCCTTTCTCAAACCTCTGTAAACCATGATTTTAGGTACAGAGTTTATGTATGTCACACTTGCTTACATTACTTTATAACTTTGTTCCTTATTATAATTGTAGAAAACAACAATTGCTATTGTGTGTATCTTATACTACAAAGATAGGGATGTCTCCTTTTCAGTGTAGTATGTAAGCAGGGACCATAACGTTTTTAGCTATCTTGAGTATTCAGTTGAATAGAAAGTTGGGATATAAATTGGATAAATGAATACATGTACTGTTCCCATAACTCTCACTGCAGAGGTCTTCCTCCTGCTGCAGATTGATTCAGGTTGATAATAACTATTCTTATTAACTTGTCTTGCTGTGTAGCCAAATACAGAGTTAATTTGAAAATCAAGCTTTATTTGAAAACAAAATAAGCACTATAATATTATGAAGTTTTGATTGATTTTATCTGGCAACTGATTGGATGATAACCTTTTGCATTCTACAAATCATACTTTCTGCATTTCAGATTCATGCACATAAATACACATACTATCATATGGCAGTGCTTTTCTGTTATGATCCCATGCTACAGGGGAACATGTGTGAATATCTGAAACATATATATTCCAGATTCATTTTTACCTGTTTCCTGCTCTTTTGAGTTCAAAACCTCTCATCTCTATAGACCCCTTACTATCTGGCCAGCAAACATAGATTGAGATAGAATGTTTCTGGCATTGCTGAGAAAAAGACTTTGAATAATTTGTTTTCAAGATATTTGGTATAACTTTTTTGTACTTAAAATAAATGTGGTTGTTTTTAAAAATATCCCCCTCAACTGTTCTAATCTCTTGGGAAGCTTGTCATCTGTAGTCTCTAGCCATGTCCTGAATCAACAGGTGCACAATTTGGTATGCTGAAGAGCTAAGGAACTTGGTGATTTTTGGCTTATTACAGTGGGGCAAAAAAGTATTTAGTCAGCCACCAATTGTGCAAGTTCTCCCACTTAAAAAGATG